TGTGTGTGTGTGTGTGTACACACATACAGGTGGTACTACGAGTACCCAGTATATCCCAGTACAGTACATCCAACAACAGATAACCTCCCCATGTGTGGACCTCAATACCAGGGTAATCTATTCAAAATATGCAGGAACGATACAGAAATGATCAAAATGATCAGGGACAACACCATAGTGTGGACAAGCCTGAAGAAACAATACATTTGAAACCAACAAATATGTCAGACACTTTCCTATAGATTATTTTCATTTGAAGTGTCCGTGTTTTTTTGTTCTCATGCCTATACTGTTCGAAGCAGAAGGTTTAGGAAATAAAATTAATGAATTATTTTCATCTCCTCCTTTTTACCAGTCAGAACACTTATTTATGCTCTGCAGTGCACTACAGCAGAACAATCCCACTGTCTGGATTGTCATAAAGCACTCAACGGAGGTGGCTTAAATATATAACCTTGGCATCTTTTAGACAGATTTATTCTCTGCTGACCAGGTATTTATAGCCTCAAAGATTTTCTGTTTTCACTACCATTGTCCTCATGATTTAAATGTTACCTACTTAATTGGTAATGTAGCATCGCTATGTGCAGAAAAGTATGAGATAAAAGGGGCAGAGAGACACTGTTTTTTAATTCATGGACACTTCCCTGCTTTAGTTACTCATGGGATTAAAATAAGCCAGTTCCATGGAAATCTAGAGGGGTATTAGATCTGGTTTCAAAAACCCACCCAACTCTGTCACTGGAATATAGAACAGCTTTTATTTTTACTTTTAATCACCAGGATGTTGTACACAAGCTCCTTCACACTTTTTGACATTGTAAAGTGGTAAACAGCCACCAGAAGCTTCTGGGGCAAAACTCCAGCTTCTAATCAGCCACCCATCAGTGTTGCAGTGGAGTGAGGCCCCTCGAAGTTGAAGCGCCAGGATTTTTAGCAGAGACAACAGCATCATCTACCATTTCCTCCAGACATTCTTGTTCTTAGCTGCAGTCCTCATGGCAGCTGGTGAGTGGGTTTTCTTAACAACCATATACTAGAAACGCTCTCTGTCTGTGTATATGCACATACATGTAGACGTAAGAAACACGTGTATACATAAAAATAAAAATGGATCAACACCATTGCCTGCATTTTTGCATTTTTCTTTGAAGAGTTGCTATGGGGTGCAGTTGGGGAAAATTACTTTTTGGTATGGGAACTCCCAAAATGGGAATTTGGAAGCTACAGTCCCAAATAGTACTTTTTGCAGCTCTGCTGAGGAGACTATCATGATGTGTCCCTCTGTTTCAGAGTTAAAATTAGTGATGATCGACATATAAAACTGCCATACTTTGCCACTAAACTGAGTCATATTATTGGTCCATCCAGCCCACTATAGTTTCCTAGAAATGTTGGATAGCAGGTTCCTAGGGTCTCAATCAAGGGCCATTCCCAGCCTAGTACTCTCTTGCAGAGAGTCTAGACAACACTGTCATTTGTTACTGCAGAAATCTATTATGCAGAGTGAGATGGATAACTGCACAACACCTTTTGACCTGTAATTCTAGGAGCCATTTGTCTGGAAGTAGTATTTTACACTGATTGCAACTAACTTAAGTCTCATAGATTTCAGTTTAATGGGGTGAGAAAGGTTAGTTTATTGCTAGATACATCTTTGTCCTGCCACGATTACATCTGAAGATGTGGCTCCATCACACTTTCTTCTCCTCTTAACTAAGGGTCCCCCATAACAACAGTACCAGAGAATCTCTGCACAAGAAGGATCCATTATAATGTGCCTCTACTCACTGGGCAAGGGCACAAACTCCACAGCTGATGCACTCACGATCTTGCTGGTATCTAGTTCCACCCGGTGATATTCATGGATAATCCGACGGCGAGATTCTAAAATAATTCAGGGAGGACATTATTATATTAGTACAGGCATCCATCCTTTTTTAATGATACATAGCCATATCAAGTCTCCCTGAAATGTCTGTGAAAGTAAATATGTTGGTGTAGCTAGAAACCAGTGGCTCATCTATGGCATTTTACTGCTAAGAGACTGTCATTCGTCCTGCTGATGGGTCTCTACACAGCTCATAGCTGAATGAGGATTAGAACCCAGATTTCTTGAATCCTAATTCAATGCAATAATTGCTGTACCACATTGGTTACTATCACTCCACCCCACCTCTTTTCTTTCCAATCAGCTGAGACTTACCAGGCACACCAGGGGAAGAATTAAGAATCATGAAAGCATCCGAGAGGCCAGCTTTCACAGGGTGCTGGGTAGCGCCAATTTCCAAGACCGACATGGGTATCTGGAACCAGGAAAGGGGAGGAATTTTTTAAAAAATCCCATCACTTGAATTTTATAAGGAACAGAGGATTCTTCTACTCTCCTTACTCCATCAAACAAATCCTGGCCAGGGTGTGTGTGATTTTTGGGGGAACAAAATCTCCCAAAATTCCCTGGAAAACATACAATACAATTCTGGGAGTTGTCCCTGAAAATCCCCAAGCTCTGTTCTCAAGTTCCCAAGCACCAAGGAATTGCAGAGATCCATCCCGTTTTATCACTCTCAACTACAGACTGGGGGTCCTCACCTCTTTGTAGCCAAATACAATTCTGCCATCATTGTGTAAAGCTGCCTGAAAGATGAAATATCCTCTGCCTTCTTTTCCCTCCAGGTACACTTGGTCCCACTGAACTACAAAGACAGTTCCTATGGAAAAAATTAAGAGATTAGGACATGACAGCAAAAAGCACTGTGCCTACAGAAGTGGTATAAGGACAAGGAATCTGAGAATGTGATCACATGAGGAAATAGATAGCATTTTGAACCTCTTGTGGAGCAATTCAGTATGTTCTCTTTCACAATGATCACATAATGAATGGGGAGTCAGATCCCGTTTCATGCCCAAACTGGGCCTTTTGGATCAGCTCTAGGACGACTACTTTCTAGGGCCAGACAGGAGAAATTGCACGACAGATGGAAGAATCCCGTTAAGGGAGATTGCTCCATGCAAAACAACCTTTTCCAGTGCAATCAGACTCTCACCCTTCCCACTGTCTGATTACATATCCTGAATCTTTTGTTACAGTTCACAAAACCAAGGGAAGACCTGAAGGTCATCTAAGTCAGCTGCCTATACAACAGAGCAACACCCACTTGCCCACAGAGGTGTTCAGTTTAGGCAAAACAAGAGTTTATTATTATTATTATTATTATTATTATTATTATTATTATTATTATTATTATTATTATTATTATTATTATTATTATTATTATTATTATTATTATTATTATTATTATTATTATTATTATTATTATTATTATTATTATTATTATTATTATTATTATTATTATTATTATTATTATTATTATTATTATTATTATTACAATCCCCCAGTCTCAAACACCAGGACTGGAAAATGTTTTTTTTTTAAATCCTGTCAGTTATAGTTATAGTTCCAATGTCTTTACCAGAAATTGGTTAGCATTCTACTTGGAATTTTTCAAAAACATAACTTTCAGTTTCTCCTTTCACAAAAGTAAATAAAAAAATTGTTTATGATACAAAACCTGTGGTACAAGGGCACACTATTCTCCTTTCCACCTTCTTGTCATTTTCACACCCACAACAGAACAGATGGCACCAGCACATGCCATTGTGGGATATTCCTCCTTCACCAATCAGTGAGACCACAACCCCACAGTCATAGGGATAATTAAACAAGCTACAGCCGCACTTCAGAAGGAGTGAAATTATACTTTGTTTAACAGTATGTAATTTAATGTAGTCAGACCTTCATTACTGAGGAATGAATTAATTACAACTAACCAGTTATTTGTAGAAACTTACTTCCAGGCCCTGTTGCACACCATACAGTGGTTAGAATAACTAGTCCTCATCCATTCATCCTGATTTAATAACTACTGAATTCTTAGTTATATCTTCAGCTGTCACGAATAAAACAAATAGGCTGGTAATCATAAACCCTGCGCACGACTGCAAAAATGGCACCAGTTCTGTTATGATTTACAGCATATGACATCTTAGACAATGTATTTCTGTCTAACAGATGCTGAAAAGAATATGAAAATTTTTTTAAATAAAATGCCCCCACCTATGGAGGAGGACCTGATCATATTTAAAAGGGCTTGGGAACATGCCCCTCTACATTGAATTTCAGTTCCCATCGGCTCTAGCCTGCCTGGCAAGTAGTGAGGCATGGTGGGAACAGTTGTACATCCACACCTGGAGGGACCAATGTTTCTCATTCCTAACATATCTATTCATTTTTCAGTAGTCCACACCTTAGTTGAAAGAGACCAAGCAAAGACTTTTCTGAGCTGGAGTTTTGTTCTACAAAATAAATGCTAGTGCTAATGAAAAAACGGAGAATGGAGATTTTAAGCACACACAAGTATCTGAGTACGTTTGGTAAACAGTATGAAAGAAAAGATGGAGGAGAATTCCTGAGGGATCTCACCATTGTCAAAATATTTGACAGTCGAATTATGGGAGTAGCTGGGGTTGAAGTTCGCCATAAGAGGGGCAACATATTGTGTGGCTGTCAACATCTGGTGGATAATATCGCCCATAAAGAGAAAACCTGGCAAGAAACCAACAATAAGGGAGAAAGCCAAATTACAAGCATACTTCATTGCCCTGGATCAGAGGTCTCAAACAAGCGGCCCGGGGGCCATTTGCAGCCCACCAGACAATAATTTGTGGCCCCCGCCTTGCCTGCCCCCCTGAAGCGCCCACGCATCCTCTGCTGTCAAGAGTGAAAAAAAGCCTCGCCTCACTCACCGGCTCTCTCCCAAGACAGCGCCTCTTGCACTCTCCATCCGGAACTGCAGCCTGCCATCCATCCATCCCGTCTGTCTGCCGGCTGTCAGGCTGCAGTTCCAGATGGAGGGTGCAAGAGGCGCTGTCTTGGGGGAGAGCCGGCAAGCAAGGTGCACTGCCGGCCCTTTTCCCCGAGGGCCCAAGCTGCCGCCGCACGATGCCTGAGAGCGGAGCTCACTCCCAGCCCGTCCTTGAAGAGCACCTCCAAACCGCCAACAGCAGCTGCCGCTGCCACCTCTTCCGGGGAAGCGGCTCTCTGGTCTCTTTCTCTCTCGGCACCCCCAGCACCAGCCCGGCCAGGTGGCACCTCAGCACCTGACGGTACTTCCTCCTCCTCCTCCTCCTCCTCCTCCTGCTTCAGCCGCCTCGGCTCTGGCGGCTGCCTGGACTCACCTTGCAAAGTTTGCTCTTCTATCATGGTGGGGGTAGCTGCTGCTGCTGAGTGCGCCTTTTTTTGAGGGGGGCCCTCAGAGGAAGGTTGCCAGACCTCCGTGTGTGTGCGTATGTGTGTGCGTGTGTGCACCTGTGGGGGGCCTCCATTCTGTTTAATTTTGCAGGTACCGATGGGGGCTTTTCTCCTTTGGAAGGCAATTCTGTGAGGGTTCAAAAAATTGAATGCAGAATTCCAAAGAATAGCAAGGAGAGACAAGAAGGACTTCTTAAATGAAGAGTGCAAAGAAACAGAGGAAAAGAATAGAAAGGGGGAAACCTTTAATTTAATTGTTACTAAGTTTATACTACAACTGGGTTATGTATTTTTATTATATGCATATTAAGTAATTTATATAATTTGATCGCACTGTTTTCTGTTAATTTTGGTATTTTGATTTTGTATTTATTTGTAAATTGGTTTTTTCTCTTTTCTCTTTTTTCCCCCTTTTCCTTTTTTCTTTTCTTTTTGTTCCCTTCCCCTTCTCTCTCCCTGATATGGATTGGAAGGCCTGCCCCCCAGTGAGGGACCTTTTAAGATCCCTGTGACTACGGGTAACGGGAGGTATGGTGTTGGCGGAGTCCCTTGCGCGCCCCTCCTCTTCCTCCTCCTCAAAGCCCCAGCTGGGCTAAGGAAACTCCTGGGCAGCTTCCTCGGGCTCTTGCTCCGCTTGGCGGAAAATCTGATGCGGCCCAGCCTCACCCAGACTTTGCCATCAGCGGCCCCCAGGTAAATTGAGTTTGAGACCCCTGCCCTGGATTGTTCAGCAAAATCTACATTCCCACTGCCTTTTCCCCAGGCCCTTGAGGTGCTCCAGAATCTCCTGTTGTCAAGGCCAGGACTATCTTTAGGCAGGCCATGGCCTCAGGTGGCAGATACTGGGAGACAGTGACATTGTGTTAATGAGCAAAGAGCAGGATGCCATGGGGCTTGTTCTTTGTTCCCGGCCTAAGCTATCTTGCTGCCTTCAGGTATGGAGAGGGGTAGTGTCAGATTGTCAGTGAAGGACTCAATTTCCAGTCCAGTTAACATGTATGCATGGAATGGAAAGGGATGCCATCTTTCTTCTTCAGGCATTAAAATGTCTTGGGTCAGCCTTTCCTGTTGGCACTGTCCAGACCACCAATGGCATTAGATCCTTATCTCTCATCTCTGCCTTATTAAATCCTTATCTCTGAATACTACAGTTGTCAGCCTCTTCCTTTCACCCCCTTACTTCAGATATTTTTTGAAGCATCATGGAAGGCAGAAGACCATGTAAGTGCACGTAGAAATCGCCCACTCAGTAATATTAACTGGTAGTTTTCATCTTACCACTATTTTAGGCTGTAGCCTTTCCCAAGATTCCTCTATCTATTAACCCCTTACAGGCCTTTTGGCTCAGTTTGGTTGGAATTGTAGTCAAACACATCTGCAGGGCACTCTGTTGCTGTTGTTATGCGCCATCAGTCTCTGACACAAGGTAACTTCATGAATGAGCAATCACCAAAATGTCCTGTCCTCAATTGCCCTGCCCAGCTCTTGCAAACTCAAGTCTGTGGCTTCCTTTAGGGGGTCAATCTATCTCGTATTTGATCTTCCTTTTCTTCTGCTGCCTTCAGCCTTTCCCAGAGAATCCTGCCTTCTCATGATGTGCCCAAAGTAGGACAAGCTTTAGTTTCAAGATTTTTGACTCCAGAGATTGTTTAGGCTTGATTTGATCTCAGACCCATCTGTTCATCTTTCAGATAGTCCAGGGTATCCATAAAGCTCTCCTCCAGCACTATATTTTAAGGACACTAACTTGGGAAAAATTTAGGAAGTCCAAACCAGGACACACGAATAAAAAATATAACCAACCAGTGTCCTTTGCGCCCCATCACACCTTTCTCTCCATCTCATAAATCAGAGATGCAGCAGTCACGCTGTTAGGCAACAGTAGGTGAGCACTCAGGGTTGATTTCCTTCAGAATGGATAGGTCTGACCTCCTTGCAGTCCAGGGGACTCTCAAGACCCTCCTCCAGCACCACAATTCAAAAGCATCAATTCTTCAGCAGTCAGCCTTCTTTATGGTCCAGCTCTCGCTTCCATACATGGCTACTGGAAAAACCATAGCTTTGCCTATGCGGACCTTTGTCGGCAAGTTGATGTCTCTGCTTTTTAAGATGCTGTCTAGGTTTGCCATCGCTTTCCTCCCAAGAAGCTTTTAATTTCGTGGCTGCTGTCACTATCTGCAGTGATCATGGAGCCTAAGAAAGTAAAATCTGTCACTGCCTCCATATCTTCCCCTTGCAGCTACCCATCTGTAAAACTTTGCAAAGCTGTATCCCTTATACCAGCTGTCGTACCCAGTGAGGCTTACCTCCTGTTGCTATGGTGACCTGCCGCAGGTAATGCCCATAGAAGGGAAAGTCAAAGGAGAGCCTAACTCTCTGTAGGAGGACAGAAAAGAACAACAGCATTAAAGGAAGGAGGTGTCTTTGCATGTTCATTTTTTCAGATTTCCAAGTAGTTTAATGTGAAATAATACCTTCGATGAAAAACCAGTGATGGGACTTTAATGTGCACATTAAAACATACAATATGTGGATGCACTTATTTATTTATTGAAATGATTTATTATATTTTATTTGGCACAAAGAAGAGCAAATAGGTATACAAAACAATGAGACTGTGTTTGAGGAATTCTTCCGGCTTCTGATATTTTTGAAAATTACTATTCATATATCTTCAGAATCGTCTTTGTTACCATAGAGGTTAGAAATCTCCCTTTCATATATAAATTAAAGGTGAGATTTGATCAGGGTTGAATTCTGCTTCCTTTACTGAATCCTACATTTCTGTGATGCATTAATGGAAATTCAGCTCACATTTCTGCATACACCTTTCCTAAAATTGTACAGTTGTAAGACTTTAAAGGATATCACCTCTAACACCCTTTGAATATGGGAAACACACTGCTACACATCTCTGGTGTTTATGTCACATTATTTTTTCAAATTTAAAATATTTCACCCTGTCTTTCTCCTAAAAAGGGTTGAAGTTGGCTTACAATATAAAATTTACAGAATGAACAGTATAAAATCTTTAAAAAATTATTACAGTATTTTAAAAGAATTGAACAAATATAAAATTAAAAACTCATAGATGGAAACAGTACTAAAAGACATTTAAAAACAACAAAATAAAACAGTACCATTAAAAAAACCCCAACTCTTAGACAGCCAGTTTCTCCTACTACTACCTGTTCGGCCAGATCCTTTCTGGCAGCTTTTATAAGCCAGGAAGAGCAAGGGTCCAGCAGAGATATGGTAATCTTCATTTTTCCAAGTATCTTGTCCATATCCTCAAGCTGCAAAAACTGAAACTTATTCTCTAAGACAGCATGGGATAGATTATTGTGTAGCCTCTATCTGACTTTTTTTCAGGGGAGGACACTGCAGAACATTGGAAAGGAGTCGCTTCTTTCTTTAAATCGGGCTGCTGTATGAAACCATTACGAATAACATGCTGTTACTCCTCTAACTAAACTGAGCATTTTACATTTTCCAAATGATTCCGCTATTGAATTACAAATATAATGTCAAACCCACATTACCTCAGTTTGTTTACTATAAGCTCATATTTATGTTTACTTATTCTAACCGAACCATTCCTTGAAAAGCTAAGCAGACAGTCTGTTACCACAATGTTATGAATTCACTGACTTCACTCTGCCAGAGATGGCTCATTGTTTTGAAAAACTTATGTAAGCCATTTTTAAGCCATGAATTTTAAATCTGCCTTCACTTTAGGACAATTTTTCCTGCAATCCACATAGTCATTGTAACATTCTTAAACATAAGAGGTATCAAACCTTGACAAGGCTGTGGAGTCAACAGGACCAAAGCAAACATAAGAAAATGAAGTTTTCAAACTGATGACACAGTCTTTTGTGAGTCCAGGGGGGAAAAACACTTCACCCCTATGTCAGTGCACTCTATGCCTCTCAACCTGTGCTACAGAAATTTTTTTGTTAATTGCCCCAAATAATCTTGATGGTTGCCCATTACTGGGCAAAAAAAAACACCCTGATGTATTTATCCTTGCACTGTGGTGCTTCTGACATGCACAAAGACAGAAAAAGAAAGGAAGTGTGAGGAACCTTTTTCCCTCCAAATGTTCTCGACCTGAATTCTCACAGCCTGTCTTCAGTGGTGGCTAAGGGGATTTGTAGGCCTGAACATCCAGAAGACTAATAGTTCTCAAATCCTGTCCTAATGCAAAAGTTGAACCCTGTAACAGGAATATGCAATTTTTTTAAAAAAATCCCAGTATTACTTCATATGCCATATATTCTCTTAGAACAATGCCATCTTTTATTATGTGGTGTTTCAAATCCCATCCCACGGCACATGTATTTAATCTGGACGTTTAGTTGAAAGGGTATTGTAGTCAATTAGATCCTCGTTAATGTGCAATTTGTTTCCTTTTCCAGTATCACTTCATCCACCATATATTCTTCCATAACAATGTCATCTTTTGTTATGTGGTATTTCAAACCCCCTCTCCTATAAGCATGAGTCAAACGCCTTCCCATCTCATGTTTGTTTAAAGGGGTATTACTGCAATCATTTAGATCCCAGTTTAAAGTGAATGGAGTATAAAACATTATCATCACCATCCCCACTATTATGGCTGGTAAAAGCTGAAGAGGGAAAGACTTGGGGGGAGTGCCTTTTCCCAAAATTTTAGAGATGCAGTGGCCATTTGCTCCAGTAGTCACCCACCTGCATTTTATAGGCTACAGAACAACAACTCCACAATGTTACAGTGGTTGGCAACACAATAGCTGCTTTACATTTTCATGGCAGTTAGGAAGGCGTTTGAGTATTGATTTGCTGGCTACACCTCCAGGGAGTTGAAAATAATGCCCATAAATTACTACTTAGGTACTCAGTGGCTGCTTTCTGTGATGTCTATCCAGCAGTTAAAATAAGATGTTATAAATGCAATGGTGGAGTTCGCTTCTAGTTTTGGGTTCCCAGCCATCACACAGCAAGTACTCTTCCAGATGAATGAGTGTATCATGTAGGGCAGCCCAACTTTTATTTTGTTTATTTATTTATTTCACAAATGTATTTACAGTATTTCAGTTCCTTGTGAATTACTATCATTAGAGATCAGAGAGTATAATTGTTTATATGCCTATCCAGTTCAGTCTCCCCTAGATCATACATCTTTGAGACTAGGAGATTGTCCACTTGAAAAAGGATGGGGCTGCTATACTTGTTATCCAGCTGGCTGGATAACTCAGTAGTTTAGGTATCTGGCTGCACAACCAGAGGTTGCGAGTTCGATTCCCCAATGTTTTTAGCTGTATTGTGTTTAAATTCTGAGTCACACTGAGTCGCAGTCTTGGGAGAAAGATGCAAGATACATACATGAAAGAAAAACATTTTCTATATATGGCTTCCATGCAAGGAAGCTTCTGGGATTGACAAGTTTCAAAGCTGTTGCATCATTTGAGTGTGGTTCAAAGGTTCTTGGAACATTCATCTTTCTGTTGACATCTTGGGTCATTATATATTATTGTGCATTGGACATAAATGTATGTTACTATTGGTGAGAATTATGGCTTATCTTAAAGGAGACACTATCCCAATCATGACACTATTCGCTACAGGGAAGTTCTAACTTTAAATAGGTTGTAAGGTCATACAAATGTATTCAGATACAGTATCTGTATTCAGTTTAATGACTGAGCTCTGTTCTAAAGCTAGCACCCAGTATCATAAGCAGTGTTAGCCTTTACTGATTCAAGGAAGATGAAGCTACTGCTGACAGCAAGTGACCAAACAGGAAATCAAGGTTATGTTGGGACCCCTCACCAGCTCCAGTCTTTGAGAGTTCCTTGGGCAAGATGTTGCCATTGGACACTCTTCATTCCTGCCCATTTGCTAATTGTTGAACATGTCATAACATCACATGGTTCCAGGCAGGGAACGGTTAACCAAGTAGCTAATGGGGCTTGTCTGTCCTGTTTCATTTTTATTTTATTTTATTTTATTTCATTGGATTTCTACCCTGCCCATCTAGACCAAAGGTCTACTCTGGGCGGTGTTCAGGCACTGTGTGGTATGTGAAGCTCTCCAAACCTTTCTCTTCTGCCTCACTCTTTCCTTATTTTGAATCTATCAAGAACCGCACATGTGAGCTCACATAGGTTGCTTCTTATGTAAAGAATCTTCATGAGAAGAACAAGCAAGTTAACTGCTTGATCCTCTGCTAGTTTTACCCCAGAAACTATATTTTCCTTTGGACCCAATCTGCATACAGTACTAACAACAGAAATGAAGGTAGATCTCTCTCTGTCCACACTGAGGACACATCAACAACCTCTCTCTCTCTCTCTCACGCACATGTACACACACACACACACACACACACACACACACACACGGGCTTACCGAGGCCTGCCTGTGGGTATTGGATAGGATTCCGTGGACTTTAACTTGGCTCCTGTTGGCTTCTGCTATATCTACCCAGAGTTCTTTGGCTCTCATCTCTCCAGGACCATATATTCGGGATATGTAGTAACTGTGATTGTCTTCCTGCATAGAGGGAAACAGAATTGGTTGCTATGGAGATATGATGTACATATTGCAAAAGAGATGTATCTTTATAAATACCCAGAATGTGTATGATGTGTGTGCATATGTACATGTGTGTGTGCACACGTCACAATACATACTTTTGTACATTGAAAAAGTATCTCTGGTGAGCAAGGGAGAAACACCCTGTATGCATGACAAATTGTAAAACTACTCCTATTGAGGTTTCCTCAAAAGTACGTTCTGTAGAGTTCAATGAGATGTATTCCCACATCAAGAGAAAGTTGGCCTATAAACAAACAAACAAATGTGTGCACCTTCAGTGCAGCCTTAGTTGCTTTAGAGTAACCAAAGGAAAACCAAAAGCTGCTCTCATGAACACCTGTATGGAAATTCCATGTCCCAACAGTCAATAGCTATAAGCATCCTGACATATTTTAGGTAAAATATTCTGTTTCTATGTTTTTTGTTGTAAAACTTAAAAACTGACAAGACTTGAAATCACATTGAGGACACATCAACAGCCTTGGGAAGATATGTACATTTCCTAATGTTTGTTTTAATTTCTCCTGGCTGCTTTCAAACTGCTTTAGACTGTGGAATTCTTCCTTGATTCGTTTGATAAAATTTTTACCTATTTGTTTGTTATAGCATTATACTCTACTCTTTGTCTAGAAAGACTCACAGCAACTTAAATATAAATAATTTAAAGTATTAAAAAAGGCAAGGGAGTGACTGCTGCTTACGTAGTCTGGTAAGATCAAAAGCAAGATTTAGTTTTTAACTACAGTACTAACAAACAGTTTACATAGGTTTAAGTAGTTATCTTGACATAAAAGGAAAACAGAAAGGGAAAAAGACAATGGAAAACTTTCTGTAGGCCAACTTGAGAAAGACAGGGTATAATCTATAGATAGCTCATAACTGGTATGGAGAGGGCACCTTCCAAATTGGGAAGGATCAACTTCTTCGTGTGCCTATGATTAAGCCTTTTTATGAATCCCCAAAATAAGGATATGAGCACCAGCTTCCAGTCACAACCAACTTACGTTTTAAGAATTTTTACCTAGGGGATTTAAATGCAATTAACTGAGAGAATTAATATAATTGATGCCATGAGTTTTAGTCAATTTGTCATTTGATTACATTTGCATATGGACAAAACAATATTTCTGAACAAGATGCACATTTCCTTCATTTTTTAAAGATAATACTTACGTATATTTTGGTAAGGATTTTGCAGTCCCTCCAGGAAAACAGAGAAGAAGAAAAAAAAGGGTGGATGCCTCTTTTAACAAGAATATTGCCATCTATACTTTTATAAGCACTTGCATTCTTTTCTAACAGTGATATAGAAATATTTTTGCATAATTAATCACAAGCATGCTTAATCTATTATGATTTTAAAAAATAGATTAATGTCAGCGGATAAGTGGACTGAATGGTACGGCCTGACAACACTGTTGTTACAGTCCAAAGGTGCCAAGGTGGCCCTCACCAGAATGTGATGCTCTCCCTAGGGGGTGAGCAGAAGGCAGATTGGGATGTCTTGATGAATCTGTAGGTCTTTTGAAGTTGATTAGAAAAGGTTTCTGCCTCCCAGTTGTTTAAAAAGAAGAAACCTTAAAAGAATTATCTTGCTTTGAGCTAGCTCACTTTTTGATACTTATCTAGCACTCTGCCTCAGTGTTCCTCATGATTATTTAACAACAGCAACTAAAAATGAATATTTTTTTAAAAAAAGAAGCTTGCTTTGATCTAGCTGGCCTTGGGCTACTTGCCTAGCTCTCTGCCTCTATGTTCCTCACTGGTACCATGGGGGTATTAGTTGGTTGCATTTTACCAAGTCATTTTGGAAGTTTTGCATTAGAATCTCTGATCTAGAACGCAGTAACCCAGACATAGATCTGTATTTGTATGTGCCGGGAGTGTGTAACTTCGTAGTGGACTTCCAAATGATGTCAGAATTCCAAGTGCATCAACCCTCACCCCAGCATAGCTAGTGAGGGCTGATGACCAGTAGGCAGTCCAGAAACAGCTGCAAGATCCTGGTGGGGGGAGGCTAATCTAAAGCTACAGATCAGAGCTGTTACCCTCTCTTGACAACCCCACTGTTTTTCACAATTCCCCTTTAAATGGCTTGAGGACGGAGAAGCTGAG